GACAGCATTTGGATAGAACTGTAGAATCCCTCAGGTTGAAGAAGACCTTTAAAGTCATCAAGAGAAACCATCAACCCAGTACCACCACCCTGTTCACCATTAAACCATGCCCTCAGGTGACATATCTACACGATTTTTTAACACCTCCAGGGATGGTGACTCCTCCACTTCCCTGGGAAGTCTATTCCAATATTCTGCATCCCTTTCTGTGACAAAATTTTTCCTGCACCCAACTGAAACCTCCCTGGGTACAACCTGGGGCCACCTCCTCTCATCCTGTGACTTGTTACCTGTGAGAAGAGACCAACACCCACATCATCACAACCTCCTTTCAGGCAGTTGTAGAAAATGATAAGATCTCGCCTCAGCCTCCTTTTCTCCAGGCTAAACACCTCCCACTGCCATAAAACAAAACAGGGAACAATGAGGAAAATCCATTCTGGGATTGGGCCATTCTTCACACAAGAAACTGTGTCATTCTTGCGTGAATATACGGATGTTCTGATAAGTAAGATGATGGTTTAGTACCATTCATAGGCAAAATATAATTTCATTTGTTCAGAAACCACAAGCCAAACTACAGCAAAGACACTGCTTGCCTGGAAGCTGACCAAATACATTTCTCCTGAGGTAGCCAAGTACATCAATAATATTCCTCCAAGTCTTTTACTTTTCACTTGGCAGTAATTACTTTACTTACTCCACATCACCATTTCATCTTTGTAAAGATGCATGGAGACCCAAAATAAGCTCCTACCTCAGCACAGCGCTTAAGCACATATTGAACTTAAATAAGTTCAGCAGGGATGTTCACATGCTCAAATCTGCCTTGGGATCTCTGAATTCAGACAAGCACCATTAGCACTGGGAATAAGAGCACTACCTCACCTGCCCATCACAGCCCAGAGGAACGACTCTGGCCCTGTCACCAGGAGCATGGGGCAAACACCAAAACACCCTCCCTGGGGAGGAAAAGGACTCTTCCCCCAACAGAAACTGCTGCAGCTCTGCTGCTACACAGCAAACAGCAGGAGCATCTGGCTGTAACATTAAATGATGCTGTTACAAGTGCTTAGGGCTGAGGGAAAGAAATGCTGAAGCATAAACACCTAAAGTGAGTAAAGGAGCAAAGGAACTGCCATAATGGACAAAAATAATTCCATACTTTCCCTCCAAAAACAGGTACCACAAATGAGTATGTAAAACATCCTGGCCTGGGCACATAAATGGCAGCCTAACTACAATGAAAATCTCAGCATTATCTCAGTGTTCAAAGGCTGGCTTCCATTTAAATCAAAATAGGTTCTCTCTCTCTTATTTTTAAAACTCTGAGCGCTGTCTGGCCAGGTTCTTCTGTGCTACACAAATGAAAAGGGAGGCCTATATTAGTTAAAAAGAAAAAAAAAAAGGTCAGAGACAAAACTAGTACATATATGATAATAAAAGAGCTGATAAAGAATCTTCTGTCTCAAAGTTCATGCCAAGCAGGAGCAAGAGCCTCATGATGTTGACAACAGGTACTTTAAACCTCAGGTCAAGGATAGTTGCTATATGCCCTGTCAATACACTGTTAACCATGATTGATTTGGTCCAGTGACAGATAATCTATTATGCACTCATACTTCAGCCCCACTAAATCAAAGATAGTTTGTCTAGCAGAACAAAATGACACAACATAGGAGAAAGCACAGGGACAAAGCAGCAGTATTCTTTTCACCCAACATTCTCCTGGGACAGAAGGGAACCAACATAAAGCAAAAGGTCTAGCAAAACACAGATGCTTATGTTTCTGGCGGATGTAGAAGAGGAAAAGGAGAACACTGTAATTTAAAAATATATACTGATGAAAGAAAAGCCATAGAAGTTCTAGCAAAATGTCAGACAGAGTTGCAAATAGCCTAAACATAAAGAACAAAGTAGGGAAAGAAAACCTGCCCCTGTGGGCAAGCCAAGCTGTGTGGAGATATTTATCTTAAACTTTGCAGTGGGGGAGCAGAACCAGGCTCACCATTTCTCATCACCTTCAATACAAGGGTGGAAAACCAAACTGGATTCTTTCCAAGTATCAAATAGCATAGTTTACATGCTTTTATTGTCTGGCACAGACTTGCAGTTTCCAGCTTATTCTCCTTCCTGGTCTTTCCTTATTTAATGTGGATATCTGCCTAGAGACAAGATGTCTGGGAACAACATCTTCCTACTTGTATCCCAACACTGATATCCTAAAGCTAAGGACTGTGAGTGCCCACCCACCAGTCTGCATGACAATGGGAGTGCATCCATGCTCTTTTATTATTCACCCTGAACAGGAACCTGTGCTGGTAAGAAGCAGCACATTTCTGTGAAACAACTGAACTCCATCAGTCTGTCACCCAGACACCCTTTGTTGGTCACAGGGACTGAAAAGAAATGCCATATAAAGAATTAGCAGGGGATGTAAGCAGCCTAGGAAACAGAAGGCAGGTGCTCTGTGCACATGCAGAGCCTGAAGCTGACCATGGAATACTCTGCTGCTTGGCACACTCCACACCCATCCATTTCCTTATGGATTACAAACCAGCAGCTGGTCACTCTGAGCTGGGTGAGTGAGTGAGAGGCAAAGCCCAGAGGGCACTGCAGACACCTGCAGGGTGCAATGACAGCACAGCCCCGGAGCACAAGTGCCGCAGACTGCAGTCCAGGCATGCAGGGATGTGCTGCTGCGGCCACCGTGGAGCTGAGCTGTCCTCTGCACACCAACCAGTGCCTTCCACAGCTGCACAAAGGCATCCGGGGCTCTGCTGAGGCTCTGATTGCTGTGCAGGGCTCTAAAGGGTTACTAAATAAAACCTCCCCCTCAGGCCTTTTCTTTTGGAGGTCTACATGGCGTGGGCCAAAACTAATTTTCTCTCCGAACTGCATCTAGCAAGAAAAGCTCAGCCATACACAGAAGCTGTGTAATATTTGACAAGGACAAAAAGACTTGGAGAACAGTGAAATATTAACCTGGAGATAGTGTTCATGCCCCTCACCATTTAATATGGGACAGAAATAAGTGGGTCAGCCCTCATCACAGAGTAAATAAATATTTCACGTTCTTTTGGGCAAGTACAGTATATATTTTCAATGCAAGGTCATTTTACCAAAGCCAAGTAGCCTGCAGATATTTTTGTGTTTCCTCAGCTTTATTATTTCCTTCCCTTAAATTATACAGACATAAATTTTTCTTTAATTAAAGTAAGTATACTACAGCTGTGTATAATTTTTCTCCTCAAGCTTTGCAAAGTGTTGTCAAAGCAAAGAAGGAAAAAAGCCCACCATAGTAGTGATGGTGACCTATTTCACTTCTGTGCAGCCAGCAGAATCAAATTTGCTTCAGCTTTAAATGCACTGCCAATTTGAAAAATTTAGCCAAGCTTTTTTCCTTCTAATAATAGAGACCATTAATAAGTAACATTTACAGATTCCTTCCAGCCTTTACAGCATCTCCAATATGCAAACCCTGGTATTTTTGTAAAGGCTGAACTCCAGAAGACCTCCCAAGAGGTACATGGATCAGGCCTTCAGATCATATGAACCTACCCTGATACCTCCAGAGGTTTAGGGAAACCATTTCAACTCAACCTGGCTGAGGAACTGGCTCACAGCTTTAAAAGGTATTTATTTTCACACTCGGACTGACACTGCAGGCCAACTAATCTAAGTATTTATCCCATTCTATGCTTCACTGAATTGAACTTAATAATACTCAATTTACAGACAAAGAGTAAGGGAATTATGTGCTTGTACAAAAAGCCAAGACCAGGGCAGAAATAAAAGCTTTCATTTCTGCCAATAAATCCCGTATCTGACCATGAAGCCATCCCATTCTCTACTTAAAAATAAATCATATGTAAGTGTGACCACAGAGGGGACACATGTTCAGCTGGCACAAGTGGGCACAGCTCTTTTCTTGTCAGTACAGCTGTGCTCTGTTCCAGTAGCTCACCTGATCCAGAGTTTGTGTACATGAACCTGACTAAACACACAAGAAACAGAAAGCTTAAACACACGCAAGGTGTGTTTATATGGTCAATCTAAAATGTTTCTCATTACCCACAAAGTTCTCCCTCCAAAAGACTTAAAATTAAACCATTTAATGCTAATTAAAGTAGTTGTTTTATCTCCCCTCAAGCAGTTAAATCAGGCTTATGAAAAGAACATTAGATGACGTGCTTATTTCTGGTTACCATAAGAAGAGTGACTTCCTTGGCTGGATGATTTTTAAAGAAATCACATGGTGGTGATAAAATTTCCCCCTGGTTAATAACTCTGGTGTGCCTGAGAGGCAAAGAGAGAGAAGAAAGGTCACATTACACTGAATAAAGAGCAATTTGAGAACACCTACTGTCAAGTTCAGCAAGGCAAAACAATTTAGCCATATATATTCACATACAATCAGTTCACTAGAAACTCTACGTCAAAGCACAGATCATGCCTGACTCAATGGAGAGCACTCACAGGGCACAAATTGCAGACTGCTTCCTGTAACAGGCAGAGAAAAAACACATTAAGAAAATGGAGTCCTTGAGTATCTTGTAAATAGAGAATGTCTGCCTGAGCAACCTGTCTTGCAATCAGTCTTTAAGCCCCAAAGGCATAAACTTGTGCTGTGTTTGCTGACTGTGACAGAGCCATACCCTACCCTAAATGCATCATTAAAAAAAAAAAAAAAAAGGCTCACATCAAAAGTAAGGGGAGGGGTGTGTGGTTTGGGGGGGGGGGAGGGGGGGAAGGAAAACAAAATCACACACACAGGCACAGTCACTTGGAAGGAGGCCACTTCCTCTGAAAAATAGTATTTCAATAATATTTGATGCATGAATATTCCAACCCACAGCCCGTGTCTCAGCCCATCTGTGCCTGCAGCCTTGCTACCCAAAAGCAACACCTGAGAAATAGATGCCATCGCTGGCTATTTCACTGCATACAAAGGGGCTAATGAACTCACATTTGAAATAAACCAGTCATTGAAGCTTTAGTGCAGCCATATATTAAGGTACGAGTATATTGTTCTCTCTCCAAGAAGACTTCAACACAGGAAACATTAAGCCATAAAACCTTTAGTGCCCGGCCAGCAGAGCTGCTGCGTGCCTGCCCGTGTCCATGGCACTCCCCGCACTTCCACAGCCCAGGAAAGCGCTCCTTCAGCTCCCGAGGGAATGAAATAGCTCACCGGGGCCGGCTCCTGCCAAAGAATATAGATAACTTTAACCGCGTGCCCATCTAGGAGACGAGCTGTATTTGTGCACCTGGGAACAGCTCGGCTAAGTCTGGCGGAGACCTCCTAAACACAAGCAACAAGTCAGGAAGAGGCCACTGAAATACACGAACTCGAGACTGGAGCACTTTCAGGACAAGATCCGAGCAAGCATGCGGAGGTGTTCGCCAGCCCCTGAACGCAAAGCCTTTCCTCAGACAAACGCAGCGAATCCCGACCCCCTGGTTCACCTTTATCACGACCCACTCAAAACTTGTAGGAGTCTGGGCAAAGTGAGTGGCCCTGAGCATAAACTGGAGACGATCTCCGTCAGAAAAGCCCCCAGAGCTCACTTCCCGCTGTTGGGTAGCGACGCCCCTTAGCCATGTCCGGTCCCTCAGCCCTGTCCCGTCCCTCAGCCCTGTCCCGTCCCTCAGCCCTGTCCCGTCCCTCAGCCTGGTGCCTCAGACCTGTCCGGTCCCTCAGCTCTGTCCTGTCCCTCAGCCCGGTCCTCCAGCCCTGTTCCATCCCTCAGCCCTGTCCGGTCCCTCAGCCTGGTGCCTCAGACCTGTCCGGTCCCTCAGCCCTGTCCCGTCCCTCAGCCCGGTCCCCCAGCCCTGTTCCTCCCCTCAGACCTGTCCGGTCCCTCAGCCATGTCCGGTCCCTCAGCCCGGTCCCCCAGCCCTGTTCCATCTCTCAGCCCTGTCCTATCCCTCAGCCCTGTCCTGTCCCTCAGCCTGGTGCCTCAGCCCTGTTCCTCCCCTCAGCCCTGTCCTGTCCCTCAGCCTGGTGCCTCAGCCCTGTTCCTCCCCTCAGCCCTGTTCCTCCCCTCAGCCCTGTCCCGTCCCTCAGCCTGGTGCCTCAGCCCTGTTCCATCCCTCAGCCCTGTCCGGTCCCTCAGCCCTGTTCCATCCCTCAGCCCTGTCCTGTCCCTCAGCCTGGTGCCTCAGCCCTGTTCCATCCCTCAGCCCTGTCCGGTCCCTCAGCCTGGTGCCTCAGCCTGGTGCCTCACCCCTGTCCGCTCCCTCAGCCCAGTCCTGTCCCTCAGCCTGGTGCCTCAGCCCTGTTCCTCCCCTCAGCCCTGTCCTGTCTCTCAGCCCTGTCCTGTCTCTCAGCCTGGTGCCTCAGCCCTGTCCTGTCCCTCAGCCCTGTCCTGTCTCTCAGCCTGGTGCCTCAGCCCTGTTCCATCCCTCAGCCCAGTCCTGTCCCTCAGCCTGGTGCCTCAGCCCTGTTCCATCCCTCAGCCCAGTCCTGTCCCTCAGCCTGGTGCCTCACCCCTGTCCGCCCCCCAGCCCGCCCCGGCCCCTCCGAGGGTCAGACCCGGCCCGCGGGGCCGCCCCGCCCAGCGCGCACGGGCCCGGCTGGGGAGGCGCTCAGGCGCCCCCTGGCGGCGCCGGGGCGGCTGGTCCCTCATGAGGGGCGGCCGTGCCCGGCGATCGCCGCGGATGAAGCAGGAGGCGAGTGGGGGTCCCGGGGAACGGAGAGCGTGTCCGGCCCTTCCAGAGGGAAGGGAACAGGCCTGGAGGGTCCCTGAAATTGTTGAGCCGTGCTCTGAATTATGGGGTCTTCCCATCGCCAGACAGTCCGACAGAACATCGTGCGCCTGCAGATCGGGCGGGGATGGAAGTGTCATTCTGCTCAAAGTGCTCCTGCTCCCTGTCCCGCATCCGCCCGAGCACTCTGCCTGCTCGCAGACCGACACCAAAGCGAGAGGTGTGGCAATAAAATCGTGATTTAAAGAGGGGACGGTGCTGAGCTGCCCGGCAGTGGTGGCATGGAGCCGCGGGGAGGATCCAGCTCTGGAACGGGGAGGGAGAGCGAGCAGGAGCAGGGACAGGAACAGGACAGGGACAGGACAGGGACAGGACAGGGGCTACACACCACAATTAACACCATCCCCTCTTTCTGCAGCCTCACAGCACCCACGGAGCCTCTGGGCTCCAAAGAGCTGCTCTGCAGAGCCGTAGTTTTATGTGTCCCAGCGCTCGGTGCCCTTGGGCTGTGATACCAGTAGGAACGCGCTGACTACAATAGGAAAAAAAAAAAAAAGAATAATTAAGTCTGAAGGGCTTTTTCAGTGCTGCATCAACCTTGTGGAGGATGCGGACATAGGATGCGGACACAGCCTCCCTATTCACCACATGGCAATTAAAAAAAAAAAAATAAAGTGGTGGCTCCTAACAGGACCTTCTTTTTGCTTTTGTAAGTGTCCAATCTCTGTGCTATCATTATAGGCTGCTCTGGTGTGTTTTCCATGAGGGTTTTAGATGTCAGGATAAGGCAGAAATCTATAATGATCATTTTCCCTGCATTTTAAGGACTCTGAACAAAAAGAGTCACATTGTTGGGTTTATGGACCCTAAGCATTCTTGGTGTTTTGCGTGTGTTGTTAGAGAGATGAAATATTAGAGTAGCAAGTGCTATTTCCTGACACTTATATTTTAGAATATGTACATATGCTTGTATTCTCTTGTACTTTCCTTTTGATAATGTATTTCAGAAATACAATAGTGCATTTCCCGACTTCCTAATAACAGTTGTAGCTTTTAATGTGCTATAGCAAATCCTGCATGTGTTATGATCAATATAAAACCAGCTTGAATCCTACCAGTCCTCTATTTTTTATTAAAAAAAAACAAAACAAAACAAAAAAAACCCAAACATTTTTTAACCTTTCATATCTTGGGGTCTTCCTCCTGAGCCCACTCCTGACAGAATCTCTGAAGATTGCAATGGAAGGGATAGGAAATAATCTGTTTATTGGTGCATCATTACCATAAGAGAAGTAACAAAAATCTCAGAAGGAATTGGTACAATTCCCCTACTTCTTGTTGGTACCTAGGACTGAGAGCATTCCCTTCTTCCTACATTTATTATCAAAAACAAGTTTTAATATAAGCTTTAAAAAAATTATCCTACTTTAATGAAGCTACTAAAAAGATATAGTTTAATAAAAGCTACTGTGTGAACCAAAGCACAAGTTAGAATCTCTGTTATGTATAGATGTACTGAATATGACAATATATTAAGGGGCTTTTTTTAAAGATGTATGGGATCAGACACTATATCAGAGTAGCTGAAACTATGAATAAAATATCTATTTCTGCTTTAACCTGGTAAATGAATCATTTTTATGATTTAAGTAAGAGAAAAAGCCATGGAGTCCTATGGCCAGGTTGTTTCTTCCCATCTGAGATGATGCAAGAATCCAGTGTATACAAAGGGGTCAAGAACTGCAAATAAAACTCCAGTGGAGATTCTGCCAAACAAAGAAGTTTATGTAGTAAATAATACATAATCCAACAACAGCACAGAAATAGAGGGTACATCCATGCCAGACTTAGTTATTAATAAACCTGGAATTAATAATCAGGGAATTAAGACAGAAAAAGAGAACAGAATTTTGTGCCAGACACCAACCACACATAGTCTTTCTTGTTAAACACTTTAAAAAACATGAAGTTACTATTTATAGATCCTGCAGTAATTCTAGGTGTCAGATGGTAAACATACAAAAATCACATATTTCAAGATATTAAAATTTCCCAATCCAAAAAGCATGCTGATATTGATAATTGTTCTATTCCTGAAAGCCTTGGTCATAGGAGAAAGTGCACTAGTCCTTCTCTTGATTTAAATATATCTACTTCTAGAAAGAAAAGTAAAATCTGGGAAGAACATCTACAAAGGATAGATTTCATTGTTCTTTGCCATTGACCAGAAGTTTGTATGTCATAATATGATTAGTTAAGAAAGTTTACACTCTGGTATAAGTTCATAAGACAAAATATTTAAGGATTAAGTTAAAAACATAAATATCTTTGTTAGCAGTATTTTATTAATTAATAAATTCTTAAGAAGTCTTATAACTAGGGGTTTTGTGACTTTCTAAACTATACTATAAAGATGTGAGCCAAACTCACTCTTCTTGCTTATATAGAAGATAAGAAAAAGAAGCTGAATCGTCAAAAATAATTCAGAGGTCTCACCCCAAATTACTTCAAAATTCCTCATAAATGTCAGTAAACCTCTTGACTGTCAGGGGGTTCCAATTCTGGAATAATCAAAATTATATGTCATTATAGAAACTCCTGTTCTTAAAACTATTCTCATGATTTTAAAATAGATATTTTAAAAGTCTGGGCCTCACTCTCAGTTACATTAGAATAACCCCATCAACTTCAATTATCTTAAAATAATATGAAGATCAGAGACTTGTCATTGTCCACTTGCTGCTGTCTCTGTAATAGAACACTGTGGGCATCAGATTTAGCTTTTTTCTGTGGAAAATGATTTCTCTTTTATACTTTTAATAATGAGATCTAACATAGAATCAAAGTGACTTTTAAGTACATCCTATTTGTTCCTTTTTTATATTTTTTTGTTCCTAATATACCCTAAAAACTTTAACCAGAATCTCAAATAATGAGATCAAAACTATTTAAATTAAAATACATGTCTAGACTATTGAGTTGTGCCTCCTTCAATCATACTAAATAATACAAGCTGGGGAACCATAGCTTCCAGCCAGGCCTTTTGTGTATTTGGAAAAGCTTTATCAAGCCTAAGTTAAAAACTGCATTAAACTACATGAAAGTTTTCTTCCCAATGTGCATGGCACCATTTCATCTGCAACCTTGCCCAGTTTCAGTCGTGGTTTGGATATTGTGTGTTACCCCCAGAGGTGAAATTTGCCATCTGAACATGTCCCAGATCTTCAGTCTTTATCATGTCACGGGTTCAAAATTGTTTTCTGGTGATAATGGACGAGTTTGACAAAGCTCTTTCCAAGAAGGAAATACAAGAGTAGCCAATTGTGCTAAAAGTAGGAAATGAGGGAAGAGTGCTGAACTGCAGCTGGGAAATGGGCTCTTATCTGGAACCAGGTACAGGCAGGTGCATCCAGATATCCACAGCTATAAGGAACGTGTGTCTCAGTGTTCCAAATTCTTGTGTTTAGTCCTGCCTTTGGGTATATTCTCCTTCAGTCTGTATTTTCACACAGGAGGGAAAAGAGCTAGAGAATATTCTTCCTTATCCTTTATTTTGTCTTTTTTAAAATTATTTTTTCTTTTTTACTTTTCTTTTTTTTTAATTTCTTTTTTTAAATCTGAATATCTCTACCCAGACTTTTTTGCTGTTTCTGTGTTTTTTTCAGGAAACATGAAATGAATGAGCCTGGCCTAGCCATGACTCAATTTAAAACTTCTGGTTAAAACAGGGGAGCAAGTTATTTCAGCTATGGATTCTGGAGATAAAATCTATATATTCCCCTCTGGATAACCAGTTTTGTGCAGTCTTACTTAACAGAACCAAGAGATGAACTGAAGAGAAGGGAATTTTCAGAAAAATGTAGCTAATGGAACCTGGCATCTGATTGATAGAGAAATCCCATTTCAGAAAAAACAGCCCCAAAAAGAA